AGGCACACTTTGGAACACAAAGATTAACGGAAACATAGTAAAACAAGATAAATGAAAAAAAACATAATGAAAAAGTACAACAGTTTGTAAGCTTCAGATGATGAATTAGAGGGGAGCTGCTTTGGGTAGTTGCCAGCCAACTAATAAACGGTAAGTAGGAAGTTGGCACCACATTGATCATCAAGTTAGTAAAAAGTTTGAAGAAGTGGTAGTAACAACAAAAAAAACAATGTCGTGTTGGTGTCACTGTCACCTGTTTGCAGTTTTTTTCAGCGGTGATAATAGTGATCCATTTTCTCAACTTGCTTCTTGTCTACTCCATCATCTGCTGCTTTTTCTTCTTCTTCTACCTGCGCAACTGGCGCATCACTGCAAATCAGCAAATTTGTTTTTGTGTCGCATTTTCTTTAGTTTTCACTTTTGCTGTTGGTGTTTCAGTTTTAGATTCAGCGTTTTCCTCCTGTTGTTATTGTTGCCGATGTGCCAGGTTTCTGTGCGATAGGAAAGACTACCAATGACAACGACTACGACGACGAAGAAAATCGTCGTCGCATGAATAGGAATTAGTCTGAAGTTTGCTGCGTTGACAAAAAGAAGGAAAAAGAGTACTCCTCTCTCTCTCCCTCTCTCCTCTACAGGCAGAAAAGTCGATTCGTCATTGCTGCGGCCGATCATCCTCATCATCCTCATCATCATCATCATCATTACTATTATCATCGGCAGTCTGGTGCAGGCTTGAGCACGCAGACTGCCGAGGCAGCAGCAGTCGCAGTCGTTTCCATCTCCCAGCTCCCTTCAGGCACCGTTTCTTTCCCCCATTTTAGTATGGAACATTGGCATCGCTAATTGTTATTACCAGCGCATGATCTACAATGAGCGAATGTAGGAGCGAACGAGGGAACGAACATAGGATTCGCTTTCGTCATCACGCGCGTTTGGTCTTCATTGTGACTTTGTCCTCCTCCTGCTCTGCTTCACAGTAAAAAGCAGAGTGGTCTTGTGTTGTCACTAGGCGCTCTCATGTTGCAAATGTCTGTGTGTGAGTGTGTGTTGGTCTGCCTTGCTATTTTGTTGCCATGTCAAGCTGCTGCTGCTGCTGCTGCTGCTGATCAATTATTACCCTGCACTGAATGAACATATTAGAGCTGAAGACCTCGAACCGAAAGGGGAGAGGGAGTGCTTCTCTGGATTGCCACTTTCTTTCTTTTTCCTTTTTCAATACTATTAATACTTGTCACTCTTTCATTGAACACATTTCACTTTCTATCAATAGTATTGGTGGTGGTTTTTCGGTGCCGTCAGTGCACATTCCTTCGGACAACCAATAATTGAGTGAGTGAGCACTAGGGAACAAGTGGCATCTGCTGCTGCTGCTGCTGCTGCTGCCAAGTTCAGTTGTTGCCCAACGCCGCGGAAAGATATTGCACTTGACATAATCAAAGGCAGATGAAGGCCAGCTAGCATGAGTTTGCGTGACGAGTGCAAGTGCAAATTCTAGAGCCAGTGCCAGTGAGTGAGAAAGAGAGAGAAAGTGAGAGAGTTAGTGCTTGTGTTAGTAGTGTTTTGTTCTTTATTTATTATTTGGTGCACATCGTTGTCATACCAATTAGGGACAAAAACAGTAATAAGGCGGCGGCGGTGGTGGCGGAAAAAACTAAGTTTAGTAGTAGTAGTAGTGTTGGGTTAGGGAAAGGGGATATTCCCGCCATTTAGTGTGTTAAATTGGCACTGAAGGTTAGGGGCATCACTTTGAAGTAATTGGTAGGTTGTGGAAACAAGGGAAAGGAAAAAGAGAGGAAAGGGGGTTTGTGTCAAACACACGGAAATTCGCATTCAGGTTAAAGCCAAAAAGAGTAGTGTGTGTTTACTGAGGCTGAGCAGGAGCTTCTGGGGCGGCTGGGGCCGCTGGTGGCTGGGCACTCTGCTCACTGGTTACCGGAATCGGCGTGTTGGCAGGCTGAGGTGCGGCAGGGGCGGCAGGAAACTGCGGCGCCGCCATGTTGTGCACCGGGGAGAGCATCTGATTGCTGATGGCAATGGGCACTGCCCGTCCGTCAGTGTCTTTAATTTGCAGCGGCTTTCGGGGCGCTTGAATGCTGAGAATGCCGTCGGCGGACAGCGTCGAGGTGACCGTCTCCGGGTCGACGTCCGCCGGAAGGAGGTACTTGCGCGAGAACTGCCGCGACACGTACCCGTAGTTGTCGGCCTTGTCCTCGTGCTTGCCAATCACCACGATGGTGTTGTCCACTGTCTTTACGGTGATCTCCTCCGGCGTGAAGTGAGACACGTCCACCATGATTTGGTACTTGTCGCTGGAGGGCTGCGGAATTACGGCGCCGGCGCCATTGCTTCCTGCAGACTGTGGTTTGGCCAAGGGGTGAGCGGCGGCGGCAAGCTGTTCGGCGCCCTGGGGCCCAATCGGTGAATGTGGCATCAGTGGGCTGCGAGGGGCCCTAGTGTTAAAACAAATATGTTAGTAATTGCTAATAAAAAAACAATGCTTTTTAAGGTTTTGTTACCCCAAAGTTCGACGACGCAGAAAGTAGCTGGGCACCATGGTGGGCGCAAAGAAGTCATCCTCGGTGAGGTTGGCGCCAAAGTGTGAGTCAAAAAAGCGCTCCGGTGACCACATGTCCCAGAAGGGGTCGCCGGTGATTGCAGGTCGGAAGAAGGGACTTCGAGACATTGTCGCTAAAAGAGAAAGGTTTGTTGCTGCTGTTGCTGTTGACTAGGGTGCTTTACTGTGTGCTTTTAACTGTGTTTGTGTGTGTATCTGCAGCCGTGTCTACCAGTAAACTGACATCCTCATCTGCCACTGCTTTAGACTTTAAGAAGGAGAAGACGAAGACACTAATCCACAGCGCGCTTTACCCGTTGCACGTTTTACCCGTCTATCCGCATCTACAAGTTCCCTCTCTTCTTCTTGTCTTGACACTGTAGTCTACCCGAATTTTGTGTGTGTGAGCTGCTCTGTAAATAGCAACCAATTACCTCTTCAAGGCGGCAATCACCGCCGCATCGGTTTCATCGCCACCATCAACCACCGCCAGTTTTTCACAGTTTTTCACAATTCGCTGCCAAGCCGTAGTGCAAACATCAAACTCTGCAGCAGCTGCTGCTGTACTGTACGGCAATTCTCAAATTCTCTCGTTCACAGTTTTAGCTGCAGGCTGGCAGCCGTTACCGTTAAAACCAGCAGTGTTGCACCAAATACGGCAAGCAAACACACACACACAGCTGTCTTGGCACTAAAAGTGCACTCTTTGCACTTGTACTGTCTTGGCTGGTAAGCAAGTTTTGAGCCTTTTTTGAGCCGACAGTTCACGGGTAACAGCATTTTACCAGCCAACTCGTGTAAAGAACACCAGAAGAGCACAACAATCACCAGTCTACTATCTTCTGCGTTTTCAAGCAAAAAGGGGTTCAGTCTGGGTGGAGTTGCCAATGTAGCAGCCAGTGCTGGCAATGATGACACAGAAGAGCAACAGAAAAAAGAAATGAAAGAACAAAAAGACACTAAAATGTATGCCTTTTTATATTGTAAAAATATGGCATTATTATGACAATGTAGTCGAGGCCGTAACGGGAGAGGGAAAAATTGGCGGCAAATATGTTTGGCGGCATTTCCACTAAAGCGCCCGGGCGCTTAATGTACAAGCCTTCTGTCGCCGTTTTGCAGGCGAAATTCAGCAGCAGACGCAGCAGCAGCGGCTATAATTAGTGCACATCGAGAATCGACGTACGCTCGAGTTGGTCGTGCCGCCGCCGTCGTTGCACATTGCCATCAACACTCGCTGGTAACTCTGTTTATGCCTTTTCTTTTATTTCTTTTTGCAAGTAGCTGAATGTGTTTTGATGTCTTGTCCCTGTCATCTGACACATACACACACACACACAGTTTGCCACACAGCGAATTGCCGTCAACATCAGAGAGAGAGAGAGAGAGAGAGAGAGAGAGCTAAGGAATCGATGTGCATTTGGAGGAGAAAGTTCTCATCTTCAAAGTGCAAGCTATATGATTGCCAGTGATTGAGAGGCGAAAATAGCTCCAAGGGAGCCAATAGTTTAGTAGTAGTTTGGTGGTGGTAGTGATCATCATTTGCCCCCTAATGAGAGAGTAGACCACCAGTGAGAATGTGATTTGTTCATCAGACTCCAGGCCACCGAAATCGCTCAACGTTTTGAGTATGATATTTCATAAGTCAGGCGCTATAAATTAGAGCAATTGCCGAAAGTAAAATAGTCAATCAAAGTATCGGCTTTATTGCAATCAAAAAGTTAGCGTTGTGAAAACCTGCCAATAATTGTATGTCTGTTGTATGCCTGCTAGTAACGAAACCAAATGAAGGCATCATTTAAGTTAGGGGGATTGTCGTTTTGAATGATATTTCAATTTGAAAAAAACTAAACAAAAGCAGATGAGACAGAGAAAGACAAAAAGAAGTGATGCTTGCCATTTGGAGGAAGTGACGACATTTGACTTTGAATATTGTCATTTGTTTCAATAAAATATAGTGTACTGTTATTATTATTTATATCATCATCAAGAGCAACATCATTATCATCATCATCATTATCATCATTACCACTATCATTTGAAGATGTATATACGCAATGCTGGCCCGAAGTCGTAGGTCACGTAGAAAGTGGACGACTTGCGATGATCGTCAATTGCCACAAGTGTTTGCAGTGAGTTCACCTGACTTGGAACGTCCTTGGCAGATTTGTTCGATGATGATTGGCTAGAATTGCGCTTTGTTGATTTAGACATCTGATCAGACGAGCCCGAGGTGGCCACGGAGACAGTGTGCCAGTGGCGTCCGAAGTGGTCGTCCAGTGTCTCGGTGATCATGTCGCTCAGCTCAGCGAGCGAGTTTGTCCGCCGATTGCGCACAATGGCCGACACCAGCCGAGTGATCTCTTCGAGCATTGTTGAGCCCATTAGCGAGTCGATGACAGTGGCGGACTTTGAGGCGGCGTTTCTCATGATGTTTCGCTGAATGGATGACAGCGATGATGAAGATGCCGAAGATGATGTTGTCAATGAAGACGAAAAAGAAGAAGATGGGGATGTGTGCTTGGATGTGCGAGATGTTGATGTTGATGAGGTGTCTACTTTGCGGCAATTGATAATGATAAAAAATTAAAATGGGAAGGGATGAGTTAAGTAGAAAATGGGAGAAAAAGTGTTTGTACTGCAAAGTTAGAAAGCAGGCAGTGGGAAATAGGGGTAAAAAGGAGTGCAGCGAAGAGAGTGAACCTGCGCCGGTTCGAGCAAACTAACCTGTCGAAAGGGTTCACAGTTCCAGTTCTCAGTTCTTACCCTTACTGGGGCCACCACCACGGGCACTACCACTGGTACCACTGGCACGCTTCTTTGTGTGCGCCTTCCCAGTGCCAGTCAGTTTGCCGTTCTTCTGATTCTTTGCTGATGAGGTTGTTTTTGCCGTCAGTTTGCTCGATTTGTTGTTCACCGTTGAGGCCGAGGCCTTGTGCGTCTCCAGGTGACTGGAGGAGGACAGGTGACTGGCGACCACCTGCAACCGCTCACTGGGGTCTACCAGCAGGTTCCGACCGCTGGCTTTCAGCACTATTTTGGCATTCTTCCCCACTACGGAGTGTTTCTTCAGTAGCCCTAACGCCTTGGAAATTTCACTGCGTCGAAGGGCCTTGCTGGGCTCAATCTCCTCCGAGGAGTCGGTCATTTTGCTCGATTTGCCGTGAAGGCCGCTGGTGAACAGCGTCACGAGGAAAAGCACTGTTAGTAGGGCAGAACGCATGTTCAGGGTTGGCTTCAGTAGTTGACTTTTTTTTGCTGGAAAACAAAACGAAAACGAAAACAGTTAAAAGTGCCCAAAAAACAAGCGCAACAGTACAAGACGACGTCCAAAAGGTAAATACCACTGGTGGACTATCTGATTTGATTGACTGACTGGAAAAGTGAATGACTGTTGACTACTCTCGATTGACTGGACAGCCAGTGACTGGAAAGCAAACAGTACTGCAACACACAATGCTGCTGCAAAAAACGCTTGAGACAGAAGACAAATGCCAGACAAATGGCACAGAGCCGGGCGGCACCTTTGCACTTGCTGCAGACTGCAGACTGCAGACTTAAGGTAGAGAGCAAATAAACTTTCGACTGTTCAGTGATGAGTGGCCAACTGTTTTGCTGCTGCTGCATTTGCTGTTGTTGTTGTTGTTGTAGCCGTTGCATTTATAAAAAATGCAACTCGCCCATTCTCGGTATGCATATGCTCATCGTGCTAGTGTGCAGAGTACACAAAGTTTCATTTTCAGGAGAAGGGAAAAAAGAGGGGGAAAAGGGGAAAAATGATGATCATCTCGTGGTGGCCAAACGACTGGTCGAACACGGTCAGCAGAAGCAGCAACATCAGCAGCATCGACCTGAAAGAAAACCGCCAAGTCACCGAGTATTTTTACCTCATTTCATCTGACACCTCTGGCTACTCTCTCTCTCTCTCTCTCTCTCTCTCTCTCTCTCTCTCNCAGTACTCATCAACAGTAGTACTCATTTGCGGTCACCTGCTTTGCTTCGTTGTCCCCCCTCTCCGTTTACCCGTCACTAACTAACTTACAAACTATTTAACTAGCTGACTAATGAAAGTGCCGCTCAGTGGCACAAAAAAGTTTTTTGTTTTTCTCTCACTTTGGAGGATTCAGCTGAAGGAGTGCTAGTTAAACTAGTATTTTTTAAACCATTTTAACTGTAAAACGATGCTTTTTACCGATTGTAGTGGCACATAAGTACAAGCAAACATTTTGGTCATCATTTTCAGTTCAACTTTGCTTTTCACTCTCAAAACATGCCGCAGCCAGCAATTGTCGTTATCAGACTTAACAATCAGTTAGGCACTTCAGTGTTGTTTTAAAACTGGTGTTAAAAGTTAAAAGGCGTCACTATGCAGTTGTTGAAAATGCTGCAAAACAACAAAAAGACAATAATTTATAGTGTTTTGCATGATCATTATTTTGTGTCTAGACAACAAATTACTTTTTAATCTAATTTGAATAATGCGCATTGACAGGTTAAAAGTGCACAGTGGCCAGTTGCACTCAGACAATCAAGTTATCTAACAATTTCAAATGATGCCAATTTTCGTTGCTAGTAAAATAAAAAATGTGCACTCAAACTACAATGTATATTTACAATAGGCACAGCCAATTAATTTAAAAACAATTAAACAATGTTTTCACAGGTGTGATTTACTTTTATTGTTTCATTTAATGATTAACTGCAGATTTTAATTTAAGTAGCCTGCTTTAAACAATAAAACTAGTTTATGTTTCATAATTTCAAAACGTTATAAAAACTTTACTGAATTTTTGCTACTTAATAATGTTGTTACAACTTACTACTAAAAACATGTTTCAAATTATTGTGAGTTAGGGTTTTGAAAATAATAAGCAAAATTTACCGTTGTTGATTGTTAAACACAGTTTTTTATTTGCAAAGTTAATCCATCATGTACGCTATCTTTTTTCAATTTATCCTTTTTTATCAGGAACATAAATTGACACTTTTACGCACACAAAATCATAGCTGTTCTTGATTTCAAAGTAAACTCACGCACACAACGGACATAAGCAGAGAAAACCAGCTTTAATGTGCCGCTTGCTTCTTTGTGTAAAAATGTTTATTTGAAATGCTAATTCATTAAGCAAACATAGTCCTCTGGAGCTGGGGAAAAGCAAACAAACAAAGTTGCTCAGTGACCATTAAGACATCAAATGAATGCAGAGTCTTGGTTGCTTGAGAAAAGGAGAAAGAAAAAGAATTTTTTAAAGTTTTCGGACAACAGTTGTGTCTACTTGCGTGTCACAGCATCTTCTCTGCCGCTTCATTGATTTCCCCTGTGGCGTTTGTAAACTGTCATTTGGGACAATGTTCACTTGACTGGTAATTGACCAGGACACATTCCGGAACAGGATGTTTATCTATTGACTGACTCTAGTGGTGGTTGTGCTGGTATAGAAAGTGATGTAAAGAACATTTCTCTCTAGTGGCCAGTCGATCAATCAAAGGCGGCCATCATTAAGAGACATTAGAAACGGAAAGTTTACAAAGCTCCTTTGTCAATTAGTGCAGTTCTCCACATCGGATGACAGTCAATGGGTCGACTGTGGACACTTTTTATTGCTTCAGACACGCTGTGATGACTGATTGTGTGAGAAAAAGTCAAGAGGGCAAACTAATGTGATTAAAAAAAGTGAAAAATGATAATTGTAATTAAACATGCTATGCTACAACTACGTTTCAATTTGAGGATGTTTTGTACATGTTGCAAAACTTTGTTTGAAATGAACTGAATGTTCTCGATCATGATCAAAAAGTTAGTTGAACGTTATATCAGTTGTACTTTCAGTTGATAAAAATTTCTGCTTTTCTGTTGAAAAATGTGCCACTATTTTCACTCGTAGTAGTAATCCCCATCAACAGAGGTCTCCATCGTCGCTTCTGTGCGCCATGTGAGCATCGTTGCGTGCGCATGCCGCGTCTGCTGCACTGTTTGTGTGTTTGTGGTGGCACTCTTTCTCCTTCGGTCTCCTTGCCGATCTCTCGCTCGCTAGCTCGCTCACTCTTTCTCTGTGCCAGCTGCCTCTTTGCTGGTTTCTTCTACTTCTCGGACTGACTCTTTCCCTTGCTCTATACTCCTACAACCTAAATCTGTCGCTCAAGTTTGCTGTAGTAGGCTTTCTTTCTGTCTTTCTCTTTATCACTCTCACCTTCCCCGATAGTTTTCTTCATCTACCCTAGCATTTCTTCTGTGTTTTTGATTGTGAGTATTGCTATCACTGTTTGACTATCATTATTGTTTTTGTTCAGTACCAGTAATCATCAACTTGTGGTGATTGTGATACACGGTGTTTACTGGTACAGTTTGCTGATACTGAAATACCAGTACTACTGTAGTACAGCAAAACAGTTTTCAAAACATTGTCTTGTTTAGCAAGTTCTTACCTTTTTTATTTTTTTTGCAGAAAATCACAATGTCTTTGATTATGTATTCAACTTCTCAACGCGTTTTGGGCAAACTGCTGGCTGCTGGCAACGCCAGACAGAGTGCGCTTCTGGCCAAGTCAATCACCACCAGTTCAGCTGATTCAAAGGTATGCAGTAGATTTTGAACACATTTCTCTGTACACTACTACAACAGTTAATGTTTGTTTACAATCCCCCAATCTCCAGTCAAGTGGCCTTTTTGCGCCGAACCAGTCTGGCATTCTCACGCCAACTAACGCAAACGCCACCAGCGTAAGATCGCTTTTCAACGAGTCGTTGTACTCCAATCGAGCCCAGTATGGAGGCCGATTCATGGTGACCTGCCTTCCTGGTGATGGTATCGGCCCTGAGATGATCAGCCATGTTCGCCGCATTTTCAAGTAAGTTTTAGAAAGAAAAAAATCTCTGAACCAGTGAACAGCTCTAAACCAACTTTGCGCTGCTATCTGCAGGGCTGGCGGATTTCCCGTCGATTTTGAGGAGGTCACTCTGGACTCCACACACGAGGATCCGGAGAACATGAACGAGGCGATCACCTCAATTCTGCGAAACGGCGCGGCCATGAAGGGCAACATTGAGACTCGCGAGCACTCGAAGTACTTTCTCTCGCGCAACGTCGAGCTGCGCCTCCGACTGAATCTGTTCGTGAACGTCATTCGCTGCAAGTCCCAGATTGGCATCACCACCCGCCACAAGGACATCGACCTGGTGCTGATCCGCCAGAACACCGAGGGAGAGTACAGCTGCATGGAGCACGAGAGCGTCCCCGGCGTCGTCGAAAGCCTGAAGGTGGTCACCCGAGAGAAGACTGAACAGGTGGCCCGTTACGCGTTTGACTACGCCCGTAAGTACAACCGCAAGAAGGTGACCTGCGTCCACAAGGCGAACATCATGAAGCTGGCTGATGGCCTCTTCCTCAAGATTTGCACTGACGTCGCCAAGGAGTACCCGGATATTCAGTACAATAACATGATCATTGATAACTGCTCCATGCAGGTAAAAGAGCTTCTATTCAGTGTTTGATGCTAAATTTATTTATAACTTTGCCTCTGTTTTTTAGCTTGTCTCAAATCCCAATCAGTTTGATGTGTTACTGCTTCCTAACCTGTACGGAAACATTTTGACTAATATTGCCTGTGGCCTTGTCGGTGGTCCTGGAATCACCTCCGGTATTAATTACGGTCTCAAGCATGCTGTCTTTGAAACAGTAAGTTCAACCGTTTTACTGCTTTGCTGTCAATCTAAAAACATATTAAATTGCTGTTTTCAGGGCACCCGAAACACTGGAAAGAGCGTTTCAGGCAAGGACATTGCCAATCCAATTGCGATGATTAACGCTTCAGCTGATCTGCTGGAGTACCTCAAACTGGACGATCAGGCTGAAATTGTCCGCGAGTCTATTTACAAAGCAATCAACGTGGAGAAGCTTCACACTCAGGACATGGGCGGCACTGCCAGTACCAGCAATGTTGTGGACTTTATCATCGATGATGTCAAGACGCAGACGCATATTAAGGCCTATCAGTCAATCAACTAAGTGAGCAGCGTTACATGATCTTCTTCTTTCTTGCACATTGTGGTCGTTGTTTATGGTTTCTTTACAATTTGTTCATTTATTTATTGTTGTTCACTTTGCCAATAACTAGTGATTTTCATTGTTAACGCTATGTGACATTGTTCGTATTCTAATCCCTCCACTTTTTCTCTCTTTATTATGTTCATTGCCACCGAAAAAGAACACTTGTTTAACATTTCTGGTTAATTTTGTATTATGTGCATTAAAATTCTTTCAGTTAACTTGCATATTTATAATTAGTACCATTTAATTAATTTGTTAAATGTTTTGTATTGTATGTTTAAAAATAATATCCAAACAACAGCACTTTTTGACCCAGCAATGATCAATTATGACTTTTTAATTTTAAATTATTAGATTTTTTGTAAATCAATTAATAGACTGAATGTCATTTTGCTAGTTTTTGTAAAATGGCTAGCCAAAAAATTAAAAATTTACCAATCATCTAAAAATATAACATTTAAAAGTTTTCAAAAGCAACTTTATTTAAACAAACAAAATAAATTTTATTTTACCAAGGTTTTTTTAACAGCAAACAATCGTTTGCTTTAAAAAATTACCAAAACAAAATGATTTAATTGTTTACAGATGCATCTTTTTTTTGTGTGATGATATGCTTTAGTTTCCAGGCTTCTAGGCAAACACAAAGAAAGAAACCGTTTGTTCAATGAAAATGTGTCACAAAACTGAATTGCACACTATTTAGGCAATCAACCCGTTTTTTCTAGCAAATTTTTGCAATTTAAAACTTACTTTTTTTAGTTTGCAAGCAAAATTTATTGACAAACAAATTTTCAATTAGTTTTTCTAAAAATAAAAATTAAAAACCATTGTTTAAACTCCGTTTTTGTACAGTCAAATTTTTTATTACTGGCTGTGTTGTTGTTCGTTTTGCCACAACTTGCCGTTTTTGAATGCTCGTGCTGACAAAGTTTCCCAAACTGAATCTTCTGTTTCTGCAAATGAAACTGTCATCGCCGCCAATGAAACCGCCTTATCGGTTTCTGCTGCTGCTGCTCCTAGCTGCGTCGTTGATGGGCGCCTGCTAAACGCAACCAATGAACGCTTGAAAAACACACTGAACCTTCTGCACAGAGTACAAGCAGAGTTGCAATTTATTACTTTTAACCTGACTGCTCTTTCTCACCTGACTCCCGTTTCGACTAAACCTGTAAACTTGCACTTTAAAAATTGTTGTTGTAGTTTTAGCAGTAACTAATTAACTTTCAACTAACAAAATACCACTAATTTTACTTTTTATTAATGATTTGTTTGTTTTTGCAGAAACCAGTAAGTCGGCTTATTAGCCTGGCTAAGTTGCTGATAATTTACTCTCCCTGGAAGCAATGCCCACCAGACCTGCGAGAGCATCTTTTTTCTTGGATAAACTATCGCCGAAAAGAAGAAGGTTTTTCGCCGCTTGTTTTCAATTTTTCACTTGGCCGAGAAGCGCACGCTCTAGCCGTGGCACAGCATGAAACTGTCTTCCCTCAATGGAACAGTTATTCTCCCATTCAGCCTACCTACTTTACCCGTTTTTCGCCATATGCTCAATATGCCGCCGGTCTCCAGAACCATCGTTCTGACTTTGAGCTGCAACACTTTGATTTTTTCAGCAGCTGGATTGGCAAGCCGGTGGTTGCTCAACAGGCAAACAATGCGTCAACCATCACCACTCGCATTCTCACTGAGGCAGAGTGGCAACAAACGACCCAAGTAGGTTTTGGTTGTTATGCCCGTTTAAAACATTTTAAATACCGAAGCGATTACTTATTTATTGTTGGAGCCCTTTTTAAATTTTAGTTTTTTGTTAATGCTAATGCAATGTTAATGCAAGTTTTCACATCATTTAGACAAAATTAAAAAACAACATTTGTGCTGTTTTGTTTAAAAATTTTAATTGAAGTTTTTTGGCACAATCAGGTGGCGGATCATAAAATCAATTTGTTACTTTGATTTTAAACTGACCTCAATCTCATTTTTAAATGTTTCATTTCAAAGTTTACAATAAATAATAAATAAAAACATTTCAAAAAAATTTACTTTAACAAAATTTAAGAGTTTTTCGGTGACTTGCAGCCAGTGATGGACAAAAATGGCTGAAGTAAATATCGTATGAGGCAAAAACTGGCAAACATTTGAATGAGAAAAAATTGAACAGTTGTAAACTGTTATCAGAAGATATGGCGTGAACATGTTTGTACTTTTGTTCTGTTACTTCGGTAAGGCACAGTGAAAGTGGACACATTTTTTGCATAGTTGCCGGTCAGTTAAAAAATGATCGATTATTCAACGTAGTTGCCAATGGATTGCTCAATGAGAATGGCAGACATCTCCAAAAGAAACTCGTCAAAAATGATCAAGTTGTAGACAAGTTCATTCATCCTGTCCATGCTACCATCTCCAGGTGGTAATTCTTTCATCTTTGGCTGTGTTATTGAAAATCTGTTATTAAAAAAGCAGTTATTAGTAATTTTCTGTTGATTTGTATTAGTAAAAATTTTAACTTACTTCACAGCACCAGGTATCACCTCAAGGACATGACTTGTTATAGAGCTAATAGAGGCATTGCTATTGCGACGGCTTAGCGATGGCTTTGAGATGCTCGACGAACGGAAAAAACTTTTTAGTGCTCCAATTCCTTTGTTCAGTGAAGCTATTTTATAAGTAAATAAAACGTTAGGGTTTATGTAATTACATGTTTTGATAAGCATCTTACCTTCAATGTTCATTGCTCTTGGTGTTTGCATAACCGAATAGGAGCGAGTTTTGTTCTGGTGGAGGTGGTGGTGGTGATTACCGGTGAGCAGTTGACAGTTGAGCTCTCCAATGGGCATTGACTGCAAGTTGCTCTTTGCCGACTGAAAGGTGGCCTCAAAGTTGTGAATGTCATCCACAAAACTTTGCGCATCCAGACTGAGTTTCTGCAGCAGATGAAGCAGACAAGGCACACCTCGGTGACGAGCCAGCGTTTCGTCGAAGAAGAGCGACAATAACAGTTTGTGGGGAGACTGCGACAGTGTGGTCAACAGGCTGGTCAAGTGCAGGTTGGTGAGGACGTCATTCTCGAAGAACTGTGCCATTCGAGTGAGCAGTGTGTTTAGAAAAAGGCCAATCACTGGAGAACTGAAATCACCATCATTGTTGATCATCGATGCGGCCACGTCCACTACTGCATCAGCGTTGCCATTGCTCGTCGCTTCAAAGGGATCAATGTGTTTTAGCAGGCGGTGATCAACATCATCATCAGCGTGGCCGTTCTTCATTAGCATTCCCTTTCCATTTGACTGTCCATTGAATGGCAATGGCTTTTCATTAGTTGGCTTGCCGTTAACAGCCGCCTCAATGACAAACTCATTGACGCGATTGACACTGTGACTGTCGCCAAAGCCATCCTGACTTTTGGTGTCATTGTTGTTCAGATTTCCCTCCTCCACCTCGTCCACAGTGCAGAAGATGATGCTCTGATCGGCAACGTCGGTCAACTTGAAACAGGGCTCAGTGTAGGCGTTCTTCCACTGCCTGACTGACGTTCGGCAGTGGTCAATGGCGTAGCGAGCGTCGTGCAGGTACTCCAAGTAACTCAGGTAGTAGGCGGAATGGCACTTGCAGGTGAAGGGCAGGTCGTCCAGTGAGCCATCATCGGTCATCGAGTCAGTGTCCACTGAGTGACGACCAATGGCCGACTGGTGGGGACAGAGGTTGTGCAGGTAGTGCGACAGACTGTTGCTGAACAGCTTCTGACCGGAAATGGCCAGCCAGTTTTGCTGGTAGCAGTTGATGGCCTCCTTCAGACTGGCCACTTTGCTTTTCTTTGCCTTTTGTGGAGTTGTGTTTTCAGCGTTTTCCGCCTCTTCAAGCAGATGCTGCCCTCGAAGGAGGTACTTGAAAATAAGCTCAAACTGCAAGTCTTCGCAGTTGATGTCAAGCAGTGTTTTGAATAGGATCAGCGTTATTAGGGATAACTAAAAGATAAAAAATTTAATTATTTTTTTTGTTTAAAAAATTACTGACAGATTGTTTTACCTTTGATTTGGCACTGATGCGACTGATGAGCGAATTGATAATGCACCGGTTATCATACTGCTCAAAACATAAAAATTCAAGAAAGATGCGTATTAAATTGGGTTCACTGATGGAGCGAATGAAGAGGTCCAGATAGGCGGTTGTGGTGATGATTTCATCAAGAGTGTTCTGTGTTTACAAGTAAACATCATTAAGTTAAAATTGTTCACAAAAAATGTTTCCTATGCAACTTGATTAGTAACTGCCTAAATCAGTAAAATACTACGATCAATGAAAAACCTTATTCACAAAAACCCTTTGAGCATTTAATTAGAGTAAAGAATATTGTATTTGTTCATGCAGCTGTTGTAAATATAAGTGACATGCAGTAATGTTAGTAAAGTAGCAGTTAATTAGTGCGACACATGCAAATGAAAGCAAAAGGTCAAAGCAGTACAAACCGAATATGTTGGCACTGATTCCAAATCTTCAATGGATACATTCGCGACATCCTGATTGCGTTAGTAGACGCGATGAAATAAGGGGCGAACAGATGAAAAGAAATGTTGCAAAAGTAGTAGAAATAGAGTGTACAAAGAGGACAAATAAGATAAAAGAAAACAGGGAGAAAAAGAGGAAACGATGAAAATGAAGCAAACATTGATAAGCGGAATTAAAAAGGCAATAAAAATATCTTGTTCATTTTAAATCAAGTTGTAGCTGCAGTTTCTTTTGATTTAAGTACCTCAAAATTGTTTTGAAATTTGTAAGTTATAACCTAACTTGTTTAAATAAAACACTTTAGGGCGCTAAATAATCGATGAATTATATCTAAACTACAAAACATCTAACACGTGATGTAATGTGTTAACTGTTTAGTTAACTAATGATGACGTTAAAAATGAAGTAAAGTCAAATTGAAAAAAGCAAGTTAAAGAGACACAGTACCTGATGAAGTGCCGGCCCAATGACGCTGACAAGAAAGCCGTTGTAGATGAAGTTGAGCAGCTGCACCTGAATGATGGGATGCGATATCTGCGCGACGGCATTGCAAAAGTCCAAACACTTGAGAAACTGCTCAATCTCCTTGGAGCTGTGGAGAAGATCATCCTTGAATTGAAAGGCATCCGCCGACATGCTCTGGCCGATGACTACTCGAGGCAGCGAGGAAAAGAGGCCGCTGAGGCCGGTGGCCAGCAGTGGACAGAAGTCCGTCTGATTGACGATGTAGTAGGCGAGGCGTTCGTCCTCTCTGGACAGCGCCAGACAGAGCAGCAGTGCATCTCGGGACTGCTGACCGATGGCGCCTTCTCGGTGGACAAACTGTATCAGCAGGAGGAAGACGGGAAAGGAAAAGGAGCGACTATCACAGAGAAGAAGATCACGATCAGCACCGGAGGAGGAGGAGGTGATCGAAGAAAGAGGACTAGAGGTTTTCTTGTTGGAGAGAATGGCACTGCTGTTCACTGGCCTGCTCCGGTAGCCATTTGACCTGTTGGAGGCCTCACTACTGCTATAGACAAGCAACACTTCGAGCAGCTTTGGGTTTTGAGTGATGGCCACGCAGAGCGTGTTCAGAAGCAGCACCAGCCGCTTTTCAATTTCAATGAAGCTGATCATCGAAAAGTTGGCGTTGCTTGGGTTGGAGAGGGCGTTGAGAAGTTGAATGAGCGGCTGAAGGAACGGTTGCTGGAACAGTATCATGTCCGCCTGTTGGCACAGTTGACTGATGAGCAGCTCGTACAGCTTCAGCTGCTCCAGGTACATGGCGTACTTCCACTCGCCGGACATCTCCGACCACCGGAAGACCTTGTCGAGG